TGGGGTTCACGCGGGCTGGGCCACGAGCCAGGAAGCACAGGAGGCAGCAAGCTTTGGTCATCATCTTTACCAGCCAGGTACAGAGCTCTGAGCAGCTACTCGGCGGCAGAGGGTTGTTTGCTTGTTTTTTTTTTACAATCAAAGAAATCAAAATGTGACCCAAGTTTACAGAAACAGAAATCGAGGCTCCACCCCAGAGCCCAGGGCCTGACCACCAGCTCGCAGGGCAGCCAGGCTTGCCCTCCACCCAGTGCGGCTCCCACCGCAGGGAGCCCCCAGTGCTGCTGAGCCCTGGCTCTGCCCGGCAGCAGGGCAAGCGCAGAGCCGCCCCGGGGAGAACGGGGCCTCAGCCTGGCTCTGCGGCAGTGCCTGGAGTCCAGGTGCTGGCCAAAAAGCCCCTCGCCACGGGCTGCCTCTGCCCCCGCAGGCACTGTGCACCAGGCAGAGGTCCTGCTCCCTCCCACCCAGCGGTGTTGCAGTTAGCTCCTCCGTCCAGTCCCCCTGCTCTGGTCCGAGCCCTACCAGGGCCAGCTGATCGTCTGCTTTGCTGTGGCCTAAGCCTTCCAGTTCCCTTATCCAAAGTGCTTTGATTTCTTGCGGGCCTGGCTGGCCAAGAGCAGAGCGGCTCCTCCAGCTGTGAAACCAAGCCCTTGCCAGGCAGGGCTGCGCATCCTCCCGCATCCTCACCAGCTGGCAGGGCGGTGTGTCTTCGGCCCCCCGCGCTCCTCTCTGCGTGGCTGCTCTGCTCTGCACGCTCAAACCAAGCTGCAGCCCAGCAGGGAGGAGGTGCTGGCTCTGAGCACAGGCCTCGAGTCCAATTAAAAAAAAAAAATGCAAAATAAAGCTGTAGTACTTAGGAAAGTAAAACCAACACCATTTTTGCATAAATATTATCAAGGCCATGAAGGCTAAGGCTGTTTGCTTCCTGTATTAAGTTAGTCTCCAGTTCCACACTCGTCCGTTGACCTGCCCAGGTCCCTGAGAGATTTGGATTCCCATCTGCGGGGGCACCAGTCCTGCAGCTTTGTCCTTCAAGCTGTCTCTCCCCGTCTGTCTGCAAGGCAAGAAGAACGATCCCATCAGAGCCCCGGGA